ATTTATTTATTCCATCATCTTTTCCAACGAATTGTTATTATTTTTACCAAAATGTCGAAGGACGGAATAAAAATATGATATCAGTGACGAAGCAAAATATTTTCTATTCGACCGCCACTGGCGGTTAAATTTGTTCAAATATTGACGAAACGATTTAGTGGATAATCGTTTAATTGTTGGTGACGTATTTTGTTGTTTAGGATAATTATTCGTTGAACAAATAACAAATAAGGCGACGTTTTCTCAAATTTTAATTGTAAGAGTCAACATGAGAAGCTATGGTAAAGTGGTGAGCAAAAATAATAAATAACTAGTGGTGTATGGCATCGTGCCTTAGGGCAAATTGCTGGAACTTCCTGTACCGTAATGAAATATTCGAAAAATTTTAAACGTTTTCAAATATATTATTACAAGTACTGTAACTTTCATTATTTTTGCATTATCTAGTTATATCTGAGCAAATCAAATGTAAATCATAAATCATAAATCAATTTATCTCCAGAACATTAACAATCGTCATTTCATTTCGAATTCAATTACAAAAAAAATAGTTGCCTAATTTACACAAAATTGAAACAGTCTAAACGCATCTGCAAATAATTCTGTGTGACATTTTCACTTATACTGTGCTTAGCTTGGCGGCATTTTCACATTTTTCAATAGTTTTCCTTTCACAAAATTGGAATAGCGCTCCAGTAGATGAACAGTCTAAACGCACTTGGGTAAACATTTGTACCAGAGTGGCGCTTAGACTGTGCTTAGCTTGGGAAATTTTTTGAATTTTCAATCCAAAATTACAAAAATATTTTTTGAAAAAAAAATTAGAAACAAATTTTTTTTTTCCAAAAGCAATTATTTTGTTGAAACAAGCAGAAAGTTCTTTGAATCATTTAAATCGCACGCTTAGTTCTCTCAAAAACTGCCATTTTTTTAACAGTTAGCTCTGTATCTCCGAAACCCCTGGGCCTACCTTTGCTAAAAACTAATAACCACGTTTTCCCATAATTAGGAACGTTTTTTGGATCATACAAATTGGATTATCCGTTTTCTCAAAAACTCGATTTCTATTTTCTGCACTCTCTGCTCCATATCTCCGTAACGGCTGGCCAATCTGCCTTTGCCAAAAACTAATAGGCACATCTCCCTATTAATAGGAATCGAATGTTTTTAAACCATTTAAATCGGTTGATCCGTGCGCCGAAAACGTGGATGAAAAAATGCGAACATACAAAACACATACACACACAGACATCAATTTTTTCTGAGAAATGCAAAAATTTTCATTTTCGTTTTTCGGCCCATTACTATAACTTACCCTACGGAAAGTTAATAAAGTAATTCTATAAAAATTTTCATGACCTGTCCTGCTATTAATTAAATTTACATTAAATTTTTCAATATCATTTAAGAATTGAGGTCAAGCCATGTTAAAACAATTTCAATTCCCTCAACCTTCTCCAACAGTTTATTAATTAATAAAAATAATTTGAATAGACGTTTGATTGGATGGAAAGTTGAAATCGGTTCGGTTCGGTTCGGTTCATTTTGGTTAGTTTCGGTTAATACCGATTCGAACCGGTGAGGTTCGACAGCAGTCGGTTTGTTTCGCTTCGAATCGGTTTGAACCGGTTCGGTAACGAATCGTGATACTTCCTATTAACCGTTTGAGAGTTATATAGATGATTTGCAGTGGGGACGTTTGAATTAATTGTTGAGTTACGATTTGAATTTTATTGATTTATGTAGTAAATATATATATATATATATATATATATATATATATATACAAGCAAACCCGACGAACTCCGTTTCGCCACCAGATGGTATCGTGAGAAAGATGAAGAAATTTTTGTTTGTTTTATATTTTAAAAGGAAAAATTTGATTTTATTATACAACAGTAACGAATTTATTTTGATTACAAAAATGGAGTGTTTTTTAGTTGAACTTCTCTAAGTAAATTAAAGTGAATCCGCAAATTATCCGTTTCATGGAAGTGATCTTTGGTAAAACACATTTTTTGTTTTTTGGTCTGACGTTAACACAAACAAAGCGGATGGTTTTCCAAATCGTGAACAGGCAACGTATAACTGCCCATGTGAAAAACAATGATTTTCTAAATAATCTATTTGAAATTTACCCCGCAAACACTAAGCGATTGGCCTTGCGACTTGTTATTGCGAACGCAATGCGAACTGGAAATTGCAATCGTTTGAGGTCAAACGGAAGACCAGTCGGAATCATTGGTATGTCACCAAATCGCCAGCACTTTTTGATTGAATGGTGAAATTCAGGGCGTGTAGTACATCATTATTCTTTGCGGCAAGAATTGCTCGTTGACTTAACCAAGCATGATTCTGATAATTCTCACTAATGTCATTACTCGAATTTTTAATTATGGTGCGTGAAGTTCCAGCAATTTGCATTAGGGCACGATGCCATACACCACTAGTTATGGCGTGCATTTTCTTAGCTATAAACCTTGCGGAGCCCGAGACCTTTCCAACGAATGCAAAATTGTCGAAATCGGTTCGTGCGTTCTCGAGTTATTTCGTCAGGAAGGAAAACCCGACTTATTTTAATATATAGAAGATATATATATATATATATATATATATATATATATATATATATATATTAAATGTTAGCAGCCAATTCGGCAAAAATAAAAAAAAACAATAAATATTGAAAATGAACTCTTTTCATAAGTGTTGGCATTAGATTAGATTTATCATTCTGCATACAAAACACTAAAATATTATTACAATAATAATTACAGTATTATCATTAATTTTTAACTTTTATTCGTTATGTTTTGTATTCGCTAATTGCTAATTTCTTTAATACCTATGTGCTTTCCTAATTAGTAGTTCAAACTAGTTTGATGACACATATTTAGAGTCGAAACGTGCTCAATCGAGGTTTATTGGTTACCACAAAAAAATATTACTATGACTAATGAATGATGAATTAACAAATAATTTTCCTAATTATGAGCGAAGGCTATTATAGCCTAAAAGAAAAAAAATGGGTTCATTTATTTTTCTCAATTATTATAAATACATAAAATTTTGTTAAAATACATAAAACAAACCAGATAAAATTTTATAATGTTTATTAAATAAATGATATTTTTAACTTCCCGTAGGGCAAGTTATAGTAATCGCAACAAAATCGAAATCGAAAATTTTTACATTTCTCGACGTTTTGAAGGTTTCTGAACATTTTGGCATACCTCAGAAAAAATGGATGTGTGTGTGTGTGTATGTATGTATGGATACAATTTTTCGTTCACGTTTTCGGGCGCACGGGTCAACCGATTTGAATGGTTCAAAAAACATTCGATTCCTATCGATAGGGAGATGTGCTGATTAGTTTTTGGCAAAGGCAGGTCCAGCCTTTACGGAGATACAAAGCAAAGAGTGCAGAAAATACAAATCGAGTTTTTGAGAGAACGGAGTATCGGATTTGAATGATTCAAAAAACATTCAATTTGTAATGATTGTGAGAAGAGGTGATTAGTTTTTGGCAAAGACAGGCCCCGCCATTTCGAAGATACAGAGCTAAAGGTGCAAAAAATGGCAGTTTTTGAGTGAACTATAATTTTGCTGAAAAAGAACAAAATATATAAAAATGAAAAATAATACTAAGAATGACCACACAACAAAAAAATTGTGAAGATTTTCTTATATTTACATTATAGCAATTTTTCAAACATGCATTTTCTAAATGTTATGTAGTATTGAAACCAGATAATAACTTTACTAGAAAAGGACTACAATCCTAGACTTCTCCTTGTACATTTTTCTTAAAAAAATGCTAATATGTTAAAACTACAAACGAAATTTGTTTACAATTTTACTGAAAAAAAACAACAAAAGACTGAAGATGAGGATCAATAATTAGAATAATTAAACTATAAACAATTCATAGGTATTTGGACACTTCATATTTTTTAAAGCGATAGGGAGCGTCCACTAATCATGTAAAATTCAGGGATGCAGGGGTATATCATGTGCATTTATTTTTTACTTGATTTTTTTTGAAATCCAAATTTAATGTTTGCTGGAAAATTTTGAATATCACCACCAAGGGGGAGGGGGGTCCAAAAATCCTTAAAAAATCTATCACGTGATTAATGGACACCCCCTTATTTGAAAAATAGATAAATTGGAAACAAAAACTTGCAACTTTCCAATTTGTGCTAACAAAAATGTAAAAACGTGTATATAAAAAAACTTATAAAGATGTATATAAAACGGAAAACTGTCAAACAGAAAGAAGGCGGCCATATTGGTTAAAAATTACTATAAATTATCAAATAATAAAAATAAATGATATTTTGAAACAAGCACATTTAGGATTTGAGAATATATTTTAATTAGGCTTAACAAGAATTTAATTACTTTTATTTTGTAGTGTCTTTTTGTATAATCATAAAAAAAATATTGTAATTATATGAGGGTACTTACTTTGTTAACAAACGTCATCGCGTAACGAACAAAGTTTTTAGCCATTTGTAGTCGTTTTAAGTAAATACACAAACACAACTATATTAAACAATAAATACTTAAATATTATTAAGATAAACTAACACAAACCAACAAAAACGGTAAAAATAACGCAATTAAAAATTATTTTGATTAAACGAAAAAAAAGTTCTGGAAAACTTCGTTGAACTGTAATCAGCATTCGCAGTTTGTGCAACATAAAAAAAACATAAAAAAATCTTAATATAAATAATACAAATATATATTATATTTATGTCCCTAATTATAAATAAGTTAAAATTAAGTATTTTTAAACAATTAATCACTTTAATAATATATTAAAATTAAAATTAACATTTATTATTAAATTTTTATCCAAGTTTTATCACAAGTATCGTTTTTCTCCGCCAGATGGTGCTAAATTTTGACATTTCATGCAGTCGAGATTTGCTCCTTGATGAACAAAGTCGTTTTTTACTGTTTATTTATTTATTTATTAATTAATTTAAAAAATGAACGACTTTCATAGCATTTGCAGAGCCTGTTTAATACAGAGCAGTGATATGTATAGTATTTTCAATCATGTGGATGAGAACTTTAACGAAGAGTTGTCAATTGTTGAATTTTTGAGGATTTATGCAAAGATTGAGGTTAGGATAATGATAATATGTATATATATATATATATATATATATATACATATATATACATATATTATAAACATATATTAAATTCTCTTTTATTATGTGTCTTTTACCCCAGGTGAACGAGAATGACAATCTACCGAGAAACCTCTGCATCCCCTGCTACCTACTCTTATCTCAATGCAAAGTATTTTTCGAGAAGTTCAAAATGTCTGACCGAATATTAAAAAGTTTTAACAAAACCTCAGGTGATATTAGCAATTTAAACAATGATCTTACTAACTGTGATAGTCAAGACTCCTGCATAGTTTATGAACCGTACGAAATAGAAAGTAATAATATAGATGATAATTTAGAGAATATAAATAATAATAATAATAGTCTAGATATTTGTGATAATGAGACTGTTAATGTTAACGTTAAAGACAATGATAATAATAATTTTGTTATCGATAATGATACTAATGATAATATTGTATGGTTAAATATAAATGATGTTTCTACCAGTAATGATGTGATTGTTGTCAATTATGAGACTGTGGAAGAATCTTTAAAAGAAGATTTGCCCTTGGCAGAAGTCCAAGTAGTTCCAGAATTGAACAAAAACGAGCAATGTTTAGAAGAAAATGAGAATCGAGATATGATTGTGGCTCTTAACAATGTAAATGCAAAGATTTTAGTGCAGATTTCTGATGTTAAAGTCGACAACCACCCCGTAAGATAAAAATCCTATACTTTTTATGTAGTTTTATTATTATAATAATTTTATTTATTCCTCTAGGTCTTCGATATATACTCAACAGACACCACAAAATATTTCGGTCAATATTTCTATATCAACAAAGATATTGTCCCCCCAAGATGCAGGCCTAGAAAATATTGCTATTTCGAATTAGTTGAGTATCAAAGAAGTCGAGATTCTGTTTCTAAACACAAATTAAAAGAGAACAAAGACGAAGAGAATATTAAATACAAATGTAAAAGTTGCCACAAAGAGTTCTCCAGTAAATCTAGACTCATTAGACATAACAGAACACATACAGGTGAATAAATAAAATAATACATACCTTTACTTGTGAATTGCATTGTGAATTTGTATTACAAGTTTCTTTCTACTAATTGTGGTTTTAATTATTTTAAGGAATCAAACCGTATCTATGTGCGGAATGTGGTAAGCATTTTACTTCTTTAGGTGGTCTCGATTTGCATTACAGAAGGCATCAAGGGGAGAGGTGTTACAAGTGCCCACACTGTCCTAAAAGTTATTTAGAAAAGTGCAATTTAAAGGTATATATATATATATATATATATATATATATATTATATATATATATATATATATATATATATATATAATATATATATATATATATATAATATATATATATATATATATATATATATATATTATATATATATATATATATATATATATATATATATCTAATATATAAAAATGGAGCTCTCTTTCAAATGTCCGAATAAAACTTGAAAACGGCTGAATCGATTTGGCCAGTCTTAGTCTTGAAAAATTCGTGCCAATCCAGAGAAAGTCCAAAAGGTGAGAAATTATTTCAAATCCGCGTAGAAACTTTACATTTTTAATTTGAAAATTTTTGTTGAAGCGTAATTTAAATAAAACAATTGACGGTGGCTAATACGTCAAATGTCAAACGCTTTTGACAGATGATGTTCAATTACGTTTAATAGGATGTTTTACGCGAATATTATTTATTTGTGATAAATTTGTAGTAAATAGTTTTGTTTGTAGTTTTATTTATATACAGAAACGTTAGTAAACGGGCCGCAAGTGTAACTAGAGACTCAAAATATAAACTTTTTTGATATGTTAATATGAAAATGCACTTTTTGGCATATTTTTTTCAAACACGGTGCTCTGAAAGATCTCATTTGTATAATTATATACTCATTGGTATTTATAAAACATTTTCTAGGTTATATTATTTTTTATTTATCTTATTTAAATTCAGAACCTAAATTTGGTATCGATCAAATGGACATTTTGTCGAATAACATTTTTCCAATTATAATTTCCCAGAATTTATCGCAGAATAGATATTAATATATGAAGGTCCGGGATTAAAAAGGTCCACCACCGATGTGCCAAAAATCAGTAAAGTTAAGCATTGTTTAACAACAATATTTGAAAGTAGAGGAGAAAAGATGTATAGCCAGCTACAAACTTGATTTGAAAACGATAATCTTTGAAATGGGGGAGATAAACGGTAATCTTTGAAAATCCATAATAAGAGTATTTTCTTCCGTTGGTAGTTTTAGCATTAGATAAAGATGTAATTATTTTGTAAAATACCTTTAAAATTATAATAAGGCTTTAAACCTTTTGTCACCTGCCCGTTACAAGTTACCCCGCATATAGGATAAAAAGGTCTAGATAACAAATTTTTGGAAGACATCAAAAAATTACATTTCTACAATGATGAAGTAGAAGTCAGTTTACTGAACGTAGTCAGATAATTGTTCGTTTGATATGTCTTATTTGTTGTGATATAATTGTTATGGTTATCACAATATAGTTTATATTTGCTCAAAGTCAAATTGGACCTTTGTGCCTCGCCCTGCTCTACATATATACTTTTTATTAAATTTACTTTAATTCATCGAATGTAACTTGAAACTTTTCAAAAAGCCTTTTACTATCTCTCCTGGCAGAAATTTGAAAATTTTATAAGAGCTCAGTAGTATTATTTACAATTATACACAAAATCCAGAATCCAAAAAGAATCTGAAAAACTTAAAACGTAATTAATAAGCGGAAAGACCAAAAAAGATTCGGATTGGATTATACGATGTTGTCTATAGAAAGTGTATAAAACTTGCAGTTTGATTGTATTGACAAAATATATACAAACTAATGGGGTTTATTGTTTTTCTAATACCTAATTGTATACAGCATTCAAACAACACATCCTTATGCACTTTAAGTATTAATATTTTTGATTCTCTAGAATAGAAATGGTTTAGAATATACCTTATTTAGCAAAAACAACGTTTGCCGGGTCAGCTAGTATATATATATGTTAATTCTAAAAATTAATTGTCTATGCTCATTTTTCAGGTTCATTTAAGATCTCACACTGGCGAAAAACCATTTCCTTGTTCTGAATGTGGTAGAACATTTGCACGGAAGTTTTTTATTGGAACTGCATATGAGAACCCACACAGGTAAACAGTATAAATAATATTGAATAAGATATATATATATATATATATATATATATATTTATATATATATATATATATTTATTTATTTATTTATTTATTTATTTATTTCAAAGGTGAAAGACCCTACAAATGTCCCACATGTTCTCGAGCCTTTGCACAAAAGTGTGACTTAACAAGTCATGTACGTGTACATACGGGTGAACGACCATATGCTTGTGAACAATGCGAAAAGAGATATTCTAAAAGCAGCTCTTTAAATGTAAATCATAATAATAATAATATAATTATGTATGTATATTTTTTATAAATTCAATCTGGTTTCAGGTTCATATGAAAACTCACGAGAAGTAGAATCAAAGATTGGGGAATAGATAGACTATCCTATTATATCCTTATTAAGTTATTTTAATTGTAAATTTATTTAAAGTATTTATTCTAATTTATATATATATATATATATATATATATATATATATATTAATTATTGCAATATTAGAAAATAGTCTATTATATTTATTATATATATATACATACATATATATATATTTATATATATATATATATATATATATATATATATAATAAAATGCTTAAGTATGTTTTGAAAATTAAGACAAATATAAGTTGCTCCTAAAAATTGTTCGAATTGCATCGAATTTAATTATAAAGTGAAATTAATAAAAGTGATTGACTGATACAATCAGTATTATTAGGATTAAGAAATTAAATTGTAATATTTTTCTACGTACTACTATTTTAAGCATATTATTTATTTTGTTACTACAATATACAAAATTATACATTGATCAATATATAAGTAATGTGTGTTGCATTATTAATAAGAAATGTTTAAATTTGAAAAAAAGTTACATGCTTTGTTAAAAAAAACAGCAAATTATAATATATAATATAAGTAGTTTATTTATTTAAATCTAGTAATATATTGTGCAATATTTTATGTATTTAATTTATTAAAGATGCTTTGTAAAATCATTTGCTGTTTTTTTATGATTCTATGTTTAATTTAAATATATTTTGTGTTTTAATTATGATTTTAATTCCTTAATAATTTTTAATTGTAAATGCGATGGGCAAAGGTTAACTTATATTATTATTTTCATATCTCAGTCAGACAGAGGTGCCTGGTATGAGAGATTATGAAAACAGTTTTCATATTTTATATATACATTTCATTTGACTATTTCAATAATATAATATCTATTACAATTTAGAAAATTTGGGCTACATATAAACATACACAAATTAATGTAATTAATTTAGCAGACTTTTCGAGTCCTGATTCGACTCCTTTTCAGTGCGATTTTTGAACATAATTTATAGAAGATATAATAAGCATAGATAAAAACAAAATACTTTTCTAAATTCATTTTTAAAATAAACGCATATATCAATTGATATATGCTATATATCATATAAATACTTAACTATCTTAATGAATTTTCATTAAATAGCAAATTAGTTTTAATTAAATAGTAATAAACAAAAATTATGCTAGTTATTCATTCATGTTCCAATTGAAGATTTTACTAAATTTCGTTCTGCTCATACTATTTTTATAATCTTTTATAATGTTTTACCTTATTTAACAGCGAATTTCTTAAATTTGTAAACTTCCCGTACCAAACATTAACATTTTTATAAAAAAGATTCAAATTTTATTTAGAACTTTGAAAATTTCAAAATTTTTGAAAAAATTGACTTTTTTTGAAAAAAAAAAGATTTTTTTTTGTATTTCGAAATATTTTGAAAATTTTGTACGTTTTTTTTAAGCAATCGCGATACGTTAACTGCGTAGAAAAGAAATATCGAAGCGCGTAAGCGCCGCGTCGCAGTCTAATTGATAAACATTGGCACGGAATCTATAGAAATGTAAGCAAAACTTATTCTTATTAATTTATCTGTTCTTCATTTCGTCATTGCAAATAAAATGCTTTTTGAATTATAATACAAACCGGACGCTCCGTTCTCTCAGAAAATCAATTACCATTTTTGGCACTTTTTGCCCCGTATCTTCGAAATGGCTAGACCTGCGTTCGTCAAAAACTAATCAGCACGTCTCCTTATCAATACGAATCGAATGTTTTTTAAATTATTCAAATCGCTTCATCCGTGTTTCCGAAATTGTCGACAAAAATTTGTATCCGCACACACATACATCCATTTTTTCTAAGGTATGCCAAAATATTCAGAAACCTCTGAAACCGTAAAGATATATAAAAATTTTCATTTTCGATATTTTTGCGATTTACTATAACTTGCCCTACGGGAAGTTAATAAACAATGATTGAATATACCTAATAAATTTAAATAAAATCGAAAAAATAAAAAATAGTTTTTTGGCTTTACTTTTTTATGTGTCATGTGCAAAAAGGCACACTTGTTGCTTTATTACTGAGAATGTTGTTAGATTTAAAAGCGAAAGTAGATTTAAATGAATAAGTAATTCGATACGACGTTACACTTGATTTGATGTTAGCAAAGACCTAAATAATTATTCAGACGAGAAATGTATAAACAAACATGTGGTAAATATTTCAAGCAAATTTTATTCATTTATAATTTAATCAAAACTCATTTTATCGAAAAAATTTAGATTAGATATAAAGTTTTAGTTAATAACAAGAAAAGTGAAAATTTCTCATCCACGTTTTAGCCCGCAAATCTGTCGAATCAAAGTCGTCCAATTTTTTTTTGCAAATTCAAAAGCCGTTCGAAAGATACTGATTAGTTTTTGGTAAGATCGCCGGGCCGTTTTCTTGTAATAAAGTGTTTTGTAATAAAAAAAAATTATCAAGATTTTTATGAACCTTTTTGGGCAATAGATATAATGGTCTTATAAAAATACTAAATATTACGGCCCTACGACAAGTCGTTTTATGTTAAAAATTCATCAAAGTTTGAGAAAATATTAAAGTCATTTGTGTGCTTTTGTAATGTGATGAGTCAAAACATTATCAATTCATTAAAATTTAAAATAATAAGCTACAATTTTAGGACATACAAGCACTAATAATAGATAATTTAAATGTGTTTGAGAAAATTCTATTTGAAATCGCAATGTATAGATTTAATTGAAAGCGATAACTTTATTTTTGAAATAAACAATTGCCTAATTTTATCTAAATATATAAATTTCAATTTCGGTTGATTAAGTCAATTCTTACACGTTTCGGGAAGTTCATGCAACTTGCCTTAAGGCTAAATGCCATTTTCACCTAGTTATATTTGGGTTTAGTTTTAAGTTTTTTTAAATATATAATATAAATAATATATAATATAATATAAATGCTATTTTATAAATACATTTATTAATTGTTTGTATATTTTCCCTATTTTATATGTATTATCAATTATAATTCTATGTGAATCTATATTAATAGAGAATCACCAAAAGATAGATTTTCAGATTCAAATTTTGGAATAAAAACGAAGGGTTATTCCAGAAAAAAAATATCAGGCTGGTCCTTAAAATGGATATTTTCGAATTTTCTTGCTCCCAGAGGCTCCAATTCTTCCAAATTGATAAAAAAAATTCTCTGAAAGTTTTAGCTCTTAATATTAACTTTAACATAATCCGCACTAAAATCAAATTTTCTATGGAAATAACATGGGTAAAATTTCATTCGTTTTTTAGAATTTTTCAACTTAGCGACAAGTGAATCAAAATTTTGAGAATAACATCGTATTTGCTTATTTTGGTCATAAATGAAAAAAAATACAATAAACATTTGATATATTTCATAAAATAAGTATTTACTTAGGAAGAAGAACCAAGATATGTGTGTGTAAGTGTGTTCTATTGACTTATTCACGAATCCAAATAATGTCTTTTATATTTTAATTTAAACGAATTCAATCTTTAAACTTTTACATTTACATATGCAAGTATCGTTGACCTCACGGGTCAACTTGCATACAAATCACAACTTAAATATCAACTTATTCTAATTACTTTTTTTCGAAAAAAAAAACAAAATAAATAAATAAATAAATATTTAAATACACCACTAGTTAAAATAATTAGTTAGTTAAAAGTTAAATTAATAGTAAGTTAAAAATTGAATATTTAATACAGTGACCGTCGGTAACCTAGAAATTGCAGAAAACTTTCACCGCGAGAAACTCTATACAGAGATTATTATAAATAAATAGTTAATAAGAGTTTATTTAATTATTTTATATTTTTTAAAAATTGTTTATACTTAAGTGTAAATGTATAAAATATAAAACAACAAAAATTTTATTGTGATTATTAAATAAAATGGTATTGAAGTGTTTATTGATGGGTTATCATTGAGTGGCATTTGTGATTAATTTATTTATTGTTTGAAGTAAAATGGCACATCTTATTTAAACATATATACATTTATATATTTGTATATATATATATATATATATATATATATATACAAATATATTCATATATGTTTAATTCAATTGATTTCATTCGCGCATCGACTGTCTAAGACTTGAGACGTTTTTATACAGGTGCATATAATTTGTATATATAATATATATATATATATATATATATATATATATATATATATACAAATATATTCATATATGTTTAATTCAATTGATTTCATTCGCGCATCGACTGTCTAAGACTTGAGACGTTTTTATACAGGTGCATATAATTTGTATATATAATATATATATATATATATATATATATATATATACAAATATATTCATATATGTTTAATTCAATTGATTTCATTCGCGCATCGACTGTCTAAGACTTGAGACGTTTTTATACAGGTGCATATAATTTGTATATATAATATATATATATATATATATATATATATATATACATATATGCATATAAATATATAAATTTCATCAAAAACCGGTCCAAGTGTTGTTAAAAATCAATAAAAATAAAATTAATCACCATTTCAGTTTATTTAGGTATACTAGCAGACGCTGACTATTAAATTTATAAAAATATTATAATTAAATAAATTAAAAATATTATAATTAAATAAACTATTGAGTTAAATCATATTTTCAAAAATATTGTGTATCAAAAAGTTAAAACGGTTTTTAAGTCAATAATTTATATATCAATAAAAATGTAATTTGATGTAAAACAAAGTTAATGCATTCAATACAAAATTAATTAATATTTAATTTAAAAAAAAATTAAAGTGTTTTGTAAAAATTATGTTAATATTAATTATAATGAATGTATAAAAAAATTAAAATAGTTTTTAAGTAAATAAAATTCATATAATCCTTAAAATTGGTGTAAAGCTGTGTATATGAATAATTTTTAAATTAATTTTTATTAACTATTATTAAAAGTAAAAATAATACAAAAAAAGATAAAATTGCTTT